TACCTACTACTCACAAATGAGTAGTATCTCACAACACTAGGTTCCTCGTATGTTAAACTTAATCACTCGAACACTTCCGCCTCAACTTCATCCGACATATACAAAAACACATATGCTTCTATCTTATTCTAGAGATCCTGTCTGCGCGATTCATCAATATTGTTCTCCTTAAATTTCCTTATAGGTAAGCCTCGTCCGTTGAAGACTCCGGTTTAACCAGGTTAATACATCATATCTGTGTAGCCACTTAACATTAGTTAAGAGAATATGCCCTTCAAGGAGCCTCCAACAGATATCCGGTATACGCTTGGCAATTTCCTTCGGTTTTGTCTCTTCACAGATTCATCACATACTTTCTGAAGTTTCTAGTGCTTATTTTTTCCTAAATAACATGACCACAATCGATAAAACCTTTGATTTTTTGGTATTTTTAGTGTTGTTTCCAAAAACGTATTCGACATATACCTTTCACTGAATTATGAGAAGAATAATAACCTGGATGACATTCGACAAACGCAGGTTGTCACAAGAATATTAGTGCTTATTTTACGATACTACTCACGAACCATCTATGATCGGTGAAGTATTCAAAAAATAACTATTTGGATCAATAGATCAAACTGCTGGTGATTTTTCTATTGCTTTTTTGCTTCTGCAGCGGCTCTTCAAAGCATATTCCCTCAAACCGATGTTGGAACCTATTTGACATCTAGTGCTGTTCAAAAGCGCAACCAACTAAGCGAGCTTACAGGGATCGTGACCGGAATTCGTTTGTTCAACAAAGACTGTTGCAAAGGTGGCTCGGGGATCGATGATAGTGAGTGGACGCTAATTTTGGTTTGGTTGTTAACAGGCGAATGAGATCCGCGGACTTATAGTGTATAGCCCAGAGCGACAGAAGGATTTAATGTGTGTATGCACCATTAGTAAAAGCTAAACAAGCATACCAACAAGTCTGAATGATAAAGTATACAGCACTATCATACTGTTAGCGCTTTAAACCTGAAAAATTCAAGCTGAATATGTTTCTTCCTAAAATGTGCTTGATAGCCACTGTCTACGTATAATTATCGGCATCTGGGTGTAGTGACACCTGAGTGATGATGAAGTTGATCGAAGATTGTTAGCCCCTGAGAGTTGTCCTCGGAAAAGAATCACTTCACTGCATTGTTTGCTGTCATATGTTGAGAATATGTGTCCATAAGCTAGAACTAGGCACCATATATATGAGCTCCGGGTATGTTTTGAAGAAAGTGCTTAGAAGGTAGTTCAGGGCATAGCAAATCCGAATGAAGAAGCTAACAGAAGCTCTCATATCTAGGCCTGTCTTGATTACCAGGTCGTATGGGAAGGAAGCTGCCGCTGGAAACCCTAAAAGGTGGCTTGTAACAGGGGACAGCGATAAATCTATTCATTCTAGTGTTATACCTTCCGTATTTTGATGACCCATAGTCCATTTACATCTTCCAATATTTTGATCGCATTGTATAAATTTCTAGGTATTTTAAAAGCCATTTTCTGAAGGAACTCATAAATTTGAAACTACTACTATCACTTTCGATGGAAATCTTTGTGAGAACCGACAAGGACAGCTGTTTCTTCCTGTTTGGGGCCAGTCAGCAGTGCGTACTTTTTGTGTCCCTGTCAGGACATTCGTGTTGGGACTTCAAATCCTTACCCCTGAGTTACACGGTCGACGGTCATTACGTTGTGCGAATGATTCAACCAATTTTTACGGTAGCAAGCTTGGACGAGTTTGTTTCACTTCTCCGAAGAAGTGAAACCCATACCCAGGACCATCCAGAGTGCCTGGTACCTCTTAAAAATCGAATGGGCTAATCCAAGCTTACTACTCTAAAATACTACTATCACTGTTATGAATATGACCTCGTATTAGGTCGCAGTAACCAAAATGTTTTTCTCTGATTTAGATTTGCTTTAGGAGACAATAATGTAAAACCAATATTAAAGAGAACCGTCACACGGATGAAAAGCGCATTTATCGAAAGATTTCTAAATAAAGAATATAATGTCTTGCGTAGGCAGAGCGCTGCTTTAGATCTTATCGGAACAGGCTTTGTCGTTATCAATATATACAGAAATTCGAAAAAGGATGTGATTTTTCATATTCTTATCGTTGTTGTTGTTTCAGCTTGGAGATCAACCAGTTTTTCCGTATAAATCATTCGTTTAAATGTCAATCGAAACTAACTTGGAGATTTTCATTGCAAGAAAAAACAATGTCGGTTGAAGGTTGATAGGTTGAAAAGTAAACTCATTTCCCAAGTGGAAGGTAATTTTTTTTTAGTTATTGTCCATAAACAGAATACCATAAGGTATTAGCATTTCTTTTTTTGCTTGACAGTTCCGTTTATATTGGCCCAAGGAATCCCAGCCTCACTGAATACTTTACACGATGAATTAAATGTTGCGAGGGAGCTAGCTGCCACATATACTAGTAAGTTTGAATTTGGTCATGCAAACTAATATTTTGTAAATGAGGCGAGTTTTATTTCGCGAGCCTTCATCATAGTTGAAACATGTTTACTTCTTTTTAGTCAAACACTATGTACATTTAACCCACAACTACTTGTGGGTAATATTTTATGAAGAATACATTTTTAATTTGAAAGCTTAGCCATTACTGTTGTCCCAGGGTTTGGTAGCAACGGAATGTCCTTCCCGCAATTTATTCTCCATTGTTTTTATCCTTTGGGAATATGCATTTTTAAATATTGATTTCAAAGTTTTAAAAGTACGATGAAATGCAAAGTCTTTAAAACATAAGAGTTCAACAGTTGTCGGCTCAGAGTTGGTGCAGTTGTTGGACGTATTGCACAATAAATGTTGTTTTACAAGTTACTCTCGGGAAAATCAGCAATGGAAATCACAGTAGAAAGAAATGAAATAAAGAAATGAGAAACTATGTGAACTGTTTTAATTGTCTAAACTCTCCCTCGGAGCACATTTCCAATAGAACAGAGAGTGGTTTACAAGCTCGTCTTCAGTGATGCGTGATCATGCTAATACATCACAACGAATATCACCATATATATATATATATATATATATATCAGTATTCTCATATCGGTATTCAACTATATAAATATTTGCATTTGACTCACAGTTATTTGTTAGTAATGGCATGGAGTAACTGATATTTATTTGAACTGACTATCCTTCGAACTTCAATTTTATGCACAATCCTCAGTTCATCCAGTGAACCAAACAATCGGAATCATCAGGCTGGAGTTTCGCTCTTAGGAGGATAATCACTTCGGATTACCTTGAGCTCATAACTACATATTTAGCATGGCTTTTGAGTTGAAATATTTCATCCATTCGATGTTTTTTACACGAGATTTTCAACAAAAATTAAAATGGGTTTCATTTTGGCTAATGTGAGTGATAAACTATCCAGATTAACCTACAGTTATCACGCGATACCGTCTAAGGGTATGACATTGTTTTGTCTTAAGATGCACAACAGATCTCGTATTGCGATTCGTCATTTTCCTCGTCCACTAAAGAGTTTTGAGTAAGTAAAAGAAAGTACTGCATTATTCTGTGATCAAAAAAATGATGGATTGAGCATACCGTTTTCAACAATCCAGGATACTAGAAGGTTGCTAGAATAGCAAAAATGTAAATGGTCTTAGGAAGATGTACTAGTGCCTTGCTTATTGTTTTACAATGAATTCAAAGTTAAGTCGAACTCAAAGTTTCCTTATGGGAATTACTTACAAGCTCATGCTTCTCTTATCCCCAGGGAGGATATTTGCGCAATTGAATCGTTTCTGGGCGAAAAGGATAAATATCACGTGTAGTTCCGTGTTCGGAGGTAGCACGTAGTATAGTCTTCAACGAATTTGCGTTTTTAGTTGTTTAGACACATCTAGTGTGCCAGGGTTTCATCAAGTCTCAGCTTGAAAGATTCAACAGTTGGCGTATAAATGATGTGAGTTGGGAGGGCGTTCCAAGTAACGCACAAAAGATTGCAAAAGATTGACGCCGGCATTCCAGTTGACACTTGGGAATCAGTAACTTGAACCGATGTTCCCTAAGGTGGTCCGGGGAAAAAGGTGCTCGGTGAACGAGGTGGATGTTTTGGGTTCTGCAACATTTGATACATCAGAATCAAGTCTCTTCGGATTTTGCGGTACTGAGTAGAATTTAGTCATAATTATCGTGATGTATCCCCTCAGACGAGGCATAAAAGCTTCGTGACTTGACTTGACTTGATCATCTTGGTGGCACTCCTTTTTGGACTCTCCAGCTTTTTATGATCGCGTTGTGCTCATGAGCTGCAGGCTTGGATGGCGTACTCTGTATGCATTCGAATGTAAATTAATAGAAAACGTAGGATCAGTGCTGATTCAACTCGACCGAAGACGCTTCTTACCAAGCTTACCTGCCTCACAGCAGCGAAGAAAGCCATGGGGAGTTTGATCGAGCAGCTTCGGTCTTCCCGAACAGTTATACCTAGGTCCTTCTCACTTGAGGAATGTGACAGCTGTTGATTTTAGAGGAAATACTGGAATCTACTCTTGCGGAGTAAGGATTGTACTCTGCATTTAAAAACAGTAAATTCAATATCCGTTCTACGTGGACTAGTTTTAACCTGTGTTTAGTGTTCCTTGAAGTACAATCCAGCCCTCGGGTTCTGTTATTGTATTCTGAATTTTAGCGTCATCAGCAAACGGTATTGTTTTTGACCTTAGAACATTTGATAGATCATTTGTGAATGCAAGGAAAAGTCAGGGTACCAAGTACAGATCCTCATGGAATTCCAAGGATAATGTTGATCGAACCGATCAGAAAATTAGAAAAAAGAACTGATCTGGTCTGTCGTCGGAGAACTGCTCCAATCCAAAGAGCACGAAACTTCTATTTGTACAGCTTCTGCAAACAAAAGTTGTTGGTTTACCTGATCCCATGCTCTCTAGAAGTCCATATAAATCGAAGGCAGCGCATCCCACTGTTTATCCACTGTTTTGGTCCATTCATCTCTAACAGGAAGCAGGTTGGTGGGACAGGATCGTTTTTACTTGAACTCATCTTGAGCTGGAGAAAAAATATGGCAACCTTCTTAGTGTTCCATAAGGGAATCTGCCACAGGTGATTCCATGGCTTTTGATGACACTGAAAGGAGAGTTACAGGTCGGTAGTTAGTGGGGTCACTGCGAAAGCCAAGTTGTATAACGGATGAAACGATCCCTTGTTTTCACGAAACAAGTGCTGGTTTTTCGAACAAGCGTTGGAATAGAACGGCTACGGGTTCGGTTATGAGATTCACTAACATAATAAGGGATTTTGGGCGTATATTGTCCGCACTTGGGATTGCATTCGTTCGCAAAGTAATTCGTTTTTCTTTGACGTTTTCAGCAATAAATGTTATGTTGGTCAGCGGAGGATATGAAAGACGATGCAAAAAGCAAGAGACCTTTTAACCTTCAATGTGCGGTGCAACAAAATTTTTGAAATACTGAGTTTTCAGTATTTCAGATGCTTCCTTTGTAGTGGCTATGACTCTCCCAGAGGAGCTCAGTTTCGGTATACCAAATTTACCATTCCGCATTGAGTTCACGTGCTTATAAAACAGATTGGGGTTCAAGATGAATCTATGTACTAGCGCCTCTTGATACATCAGTTTATTTCCATGAATCAGCTTGCTGCAGTGGTTTCTCAGCAGGAGATAATTATTGCATGTGACGATATCCGGAAGACGTTTATAACCTCTTCAGGATAGATTCCTCAATGATATCCAATTCCTCACATGATTTCTACTAAGTGACTTTCGAACTAATGTTAGTAGATTTATAAGACTGTCGATAAAGTTCTGCCGATACCAATGGATTGGGTTCTTTGCCATTGGAATACACTGAGTGCAGAGCACCAAGTCTTGCAACCTTGTTTAACCTATGGATATGTACATGTTGTTGGGAGAACGTATTTGAATAGAAGCGTAACAAATGTATTGAAATGAAATTGCTGCATGATCACCAGTCCTAGGGAGAAGTCACATTGATGGATTCTACCAACAGCTTTTGATTTGTAAACACTGAATTCAGCATTCATTGTGACTGCAAGTTTCCAAGTCTGGTGACCTGCTTCACTTGGTTGTACAGAGGATGTGAGTCAACCAGATATTTGAGCTTATGTTCGAACAATGGACAGATGGTCGTAGGTTTTTTGAGATTGGGGCAGTTGAAACCACCCATTAAACGAACATGGGTAAATCTCTGTGTAATCATATGTGGCATAAACTGCAAAAGAGTTTTGTTGGCTGTCTCCGAAGATGATTGAAGATGATGAACTACGTCAATCAAACATTTATCCTATTTGGACAGCGTGATTTACACCAAATTGTGTCAGTAGCCGCAACCGCAGGATTGCTAATCTCGTAATGAAGATCATCGGGAGCGCAAAGTAAAATAGCATCGCCACATGTAGGACGACTGCGTTTTAGTAGAGAAATTTGGTAAAGATATTTCGAAATCAATAATTCCAGCTGACAGCTACGTTTCAGTAACAGCGATAATATCCCAGTGGTCATATTGGAAACGCCCATGGAGTTCGGAAAATTTACTGAGGAATGCTTGTACATTGATACAGCAACAGTTCAGGTATCATCGATGTAGAAATCCCAATGGGAGAGAAGTGGTATCTTTGCCGACTACATCGTGGTGGGTTAACTATAGCTTTTTGAGGGAATGCTCTGATGCTTTGGTCTTCCGATAAGGGTATGTTGACAGTATCTTCCTGTAATCCAGTGTAATCCAGTAATGGTCTCGGGCGCAGTTCTGTTAAACCTCTTTTCATTTCTTTCCTGCCACAATTGCAAAAGGGTGGTGGTCATTTCCGGGGTACCATGAATAAATTTCATTATCACTGGACCACTAAGATGGTAGTTTGGTGAATAAGGAAGCCAAAGGATTGACGTATTAACAACATTGTGATATTCCAGGAAATATTGCATGTATTGTCTCACTCTTTGCAATCGCACTGGTAACTTTAGGATTCCTTTGTATGATTTAGCCTTGGGACTCCATGGGTGAGAACAAACCTTTCATTTTTAATCTAACAGGCACTCTTCGGGTTAGCCCGGTGATTCATGCGCACCGTCCATGGTCTTTCAGGCAGGATTCCTATTTTAGACAGACTATTTCGAAGGAGATAGCTAGGAAAAAAGAACGACTTCAACATCTCTTCCTATTTTTCAAGATCACCTGGAGCAATCAACCTGGGTTCCACAGTGCGAGGCAAGGACGACTGACTTACAAGGTATTATTGATTCGGCTACATTCGTGCAAATAACTGTTAAGAAGTGTTGTTGGCACCTCTTTTCCTCCGTTACTAGCGGTTTATTAGCTGGACTGAGAACTTTTGGTGGGGAATGATTTTCTCTGCCTCTGGAACAGTGACTGCGTTCCTCATTGTTTTGGGCACAATAGTTATCATATCGGCCGGGCGTGAGATTCGCCTTTCAGTTGTACTGGTCAGGGAATATCAAAAACGTTTGGTCGGTAGCTGAGTCGGGTTCTCCGGGGGTAACCGGGTGCCCCAAGCTGCTATCGTTTCTTCTAGTATTGTAATTTTCACGTTTGCCCTTCCTTTAGCAGCTAAAAGTAATTCTTCAAAGCCTGGTTTGCGGTTGATAACTGGAGTCTTTAAACAATATATTCAAAACCGAAACCAATTTGTTTGTGCAGTCATCTGTTTAATCAGCTTGCTGGACAGTTTGGCGCACGCGGGAAGAAAGTACTTCTGGCAGTAGGTGCATGCCATTCCTGTTGTGACATCTGTTCCACACCCCATTGAGCCACATCCACCCAAAACGTGTACGGCCAAAGATGTGGCAAAGATGTGACATCACCCGATGACCCATGCTGATGCACTAACTGGCGAGCTTAGACATTGGATAAAGGTCAAGTGGAGCAAACCCACTGGGTCAAGGTATGCAGAACAATGACCGGGGCAGTTTGTTAGTATCGATCGCGATGACAACGCTGGAGAAACGGACACAAAATTGTTACTTTCGGAACAAACTACTGGTATCAGATGCCACGATTGTACCTTTCCGTAGCCTCTTTTCGCAACCTCTGCCACTACCCAATTTCCCCCCAATTCCCTCGACAACCTTTCTTTGCCTTCAACCTTGTTAGTCATTCTACATTTTCTGCAACTGTGAAGTTATTCGAAATGCTATTACTGTGTTTGTCGCTGATATCAGTGTTTTACTGTGAACATTATGCATATCGTATGATGAAACAAAAGATGGAAAAATCAAAAGTGTAACAGAAATCCATAATTTGAAAATTGACAAATGGAGTATACATCCACTCTCATTGCAACTTATCTCCCACAATGAGACAAACAACAATGATACAAACAACCATAAGCAACCCAGTAATCCCCGGTAAGCCAAGTTGAACCATAACAAGAAAAGTCATTTTCATTGACATTATTTCACAGGTTTGTTTCAAAAGATCATGGGACTCGACCCAGACCCTAAAGTGCTCAGCTCGGCCACTGTGACCGCAAAAGTTGCTGAACAGGACGGGATCACGGCAGATTTGATTCGGGCAGCAGTAATCAATGCTCGACAATATATAGCTTATTTAATTCAACTGGAAGCAGTGCTGATCAAAATGACCACTGTGGACGATCGATTGTGCTCTGATTTCAAGGCCAAGCTTAACCAACTTCGTCAGCTTATTCGTGATCGACCGGCAGTTCCAAGCATGGAAGTATACGTGAGTAGAATATTTGGTCAGATTTGATAGAATTAGATGAAACGTTTATTTTTTACCACCTATTCAAACAGAGAGAAGGCAGACGTGGATGGTAACCTACAATAACCACCACGCAATCTCGTCTTACTATCCGGACGCGGTCCTCAAGCAGGGAAGAATATGAACACCTAATTACCGTTATTGCGACCAGAGGATGAATAAACAAATTTCAGAATCAACCTTCATAATTGGTTACTAGCGTTTATGGCGCACCAATTTCAACCTTAGATCACATATGTACTGTTGTTTCTTAATGTGATTAGTTTCAAGACTTAGGTTACCGAGTTCCCCGATTTAATCGTGCTCCTTATGCCATGGATCACACTTAGGTATGGGACCAAAATATGACGAAACATGATAACCAATAAACAGAGTGGCGATAAAGTGCTGAACAAATTGCTTAAAAATAATCTGCTATCAGTCCATCTAGTGCATATTAGTAATTGTGAAAATCTATCTCACACAAAAGAATTTGACTGCTGGATAGTGTTAATAGGTTATCTACTCGGTAAATATACGGAGGACGTTGTCAAGCAAATTTGGCACGGTACGATCTGCACATTTGCACATAGCATATATGTGTTCAACTTACACGAGTTTTATTGACCTATTCCTCGTTCGTTCGTAAAAATTAGAGCGGTGGTGGCCAAGTTAGCAGGTCGCCAACTTGTGACCTGGAATTCCCTGGTTCGAACCGCTCCACCGCTGTCGGTCTTCCCAGGTCCCCCTTCCTGAAAACTGACCGTACATTTGTATATTCAATAAAATAAAATGGAAGTAAAATATTACACTTAGATTTTCACCTACAGTTGGCCAAAATAGTTGTCAATGCTTTGAAAGTGATTATCAGTTATTGTCATTTCTTCGGTCGTGTACGCACATCGTTAAGCTAAACAGATAAGTAATGTTAATCCAGGTTTGGTCGAGTGTGTCTAGGTGCACATGATTGATTATAACCAGGGAAGACCAAGGGTAAAGGTCTTATACTTTTGGACACAAGAGCAGTTTGTTGTAAGAGATCGATAATGTCTCGAGTATCCTTACTAGGTGTTTGTCGCGATGACTTAAAAAAACCGAAAAAGCGTTTGCAGGATATATCTTGTGACCATTTTCAACCAAGTGGAATGCGATGGCCAAGGTCAGCCTATGGGATGTAGTCAGAATATGGGGTATAGGCTGAGTCATCTACTCACTCATGTGCTTAGGGAAGTATTCGACCATTCTGTCTATCTATCGATCTATATATATATATATATCTTTATATATAATGTATACTATTTACAGCTGCAACAGAAGGCAATGAGAGTTAGAGTCAACAAAGCGGTGACCTCGGAATGGGTCAGAGGGAGACACCATTTGACAGTATGGAGACGTTATGCAGCAGCAGAGTAGATTCTTTGTAAAGTGTTTTCTATACGCTGTGCGATAAGCTGCGTTTTTGATCCTTCTCTCTATGGCAGACAGATGTGGCTATTCCTTATAGAATCCCGATGGACAGGTGCTTGCGCCTGATTTATTGTCCGATTATGAAAACGGTCAAATGACTCCGGTTAACTATTCAGGCGTTATATATTCTTCCGTTCGTTTAATATTGTTTCTTCTGTACATATTTTTCTCACCCTATGAATCAGTGTTCGAATCAGGGCTCTATTGTGTTTCATTGGTGAGAAACTGTTAAAATGAAGATACTGTCCGTACCAATTATTCTTGTGGAAGATAGATCTTTGAATAGAACCGTCAATTTGCCGGGTTATTATGATACCAAGGAAAGCTAGCGAATTTTCCCGAATTTTCCGCAGGAGTATTTTAAGTTAAGGCGTGCTGTGTTGAATTCATCCAGCAATGCATTCTTATCATCAGGCTGATTGAAGATGATGAAAACATCAACGTGTTTTATATAAAAAAACGTTCGCTTGATTACCTCATTCCACTCTGCTTCAATCATTCCAGTTGAAATGTCAACCAGGATAGGACTGAGCGAGTTATCGGTTGCAACACCGTATACGTATTAAGAAGCTCTTCCTTGAGAATGGAAACACGTATCTTAAATGCACAGTGAAATAACAGTTTTCAGAAGCAGTGGAGGTTGATTTTTTCTAGTTTGGAGGATTCTCAGATGAAGTCTACGGTGTCGTGCAGGGGGACATCTGTGAATAATGACGCGACATCGAATGAACAACTTGTTTTAACGGACAGACTAGAAAAAATGTCACAAAACTGGAGATTCACGTAGCGTGAAGTTGCCATGGCTTTTGTGTACTGGCTGACGGACTTTGACGAGCCGCCGGGGTAGGTTGTAATAGGACGAGGTAATATGGTCCCCAAAGGGATAACTGGTCGATTAGTCTTTAATGACTCTTGTAGAATCAGTGAATGACCACCCGTAGGTTTTATTTTTTCATTTTATTTCATTTTCATTTGTCAAAGAAATGTTTCCGTCATTTATTGTAAACGGTTACTGGCGAAAATCATGAGGTCAATTCCTATTCACATCACCTTTGCTGTCATTTTAGAGTTGATTAACATCTACAGGATTGTAGCAAAGCTTTGATCTAAGCAAGGACACAACAAATACTTCTAAATCGTATGTTTGTTTGGCGATTGAAAACTTGCACAGCGCATAATCCTAGTGTTTTCAGCTGCTTTTCGAAAATTGTCGTAATCCGTTGGACAACTATTAATGGTTTCACGTGAAAAGTTGTAAAAATGTCAAACATTTCATCTGGTCAATAATATTTCTGGGTAAAAAAGTATTTTTTTCTATTTGTGCCTCCCCCCCCCGATGAGCTTCCTCGACAGGTATCGTTTGCGAAGGAAGATATTAGTTTGAAGTAAACCAAAGGTGATATAAAAACACTAACCAGGAAGGTCGCTCTGGCTGGGGACCACGAGATAAACTTAATCAATAGCTAAAGACACTGAGTAATATGATTGAGTGTCGTAAACAGATCCACTGGTAAATCTGCACACTTTAAAGCCATAGTTGTTTGATTTAATCAAATGAACCCGTCGCACGATAACTCACGGATAGTAACTGCATAAATTGAAACGAAAAATGATTCATTTCCTCTTTCTATCATTCCCACCCTTGTTTGAGTCTTCCTTCTATGGTATAATTATTTGGTGTATCAAAAGGAGATTGAGTCAAAATGATGCCATACAAAGAAGAAGAAACAGTGCTTTGGATTGGAGGCACACAAAAGAGAACGTGTTCGCTTACGTGGGGGTTGGGGAGGGAGAGTGGACAGAACTGATGTAGATTATACATAAGTTTGGATCGTTATAAAGATGTAAATGATGATAATTTAAATTCTACATGAATATCCAGTCTTCATTAATTTTTCCGTGTTCCGATATCGCATTCGTATATCATATGAACTTAACTCATAAAATAAATGTTTTCTTTTGCCAAAATAGCCTTTATTTTTGGAGCTTTCAAATATTTGGAAAGATCTACAAAATGAAGCGGTTCTATTGTCGGTTCTGACTAGTACATTGAACGGTATACAATCCTATTTTGTCGGAAGACGCCTCAAGTGGAAACGTGAAAAATTGCTTCACTTGATTTCTGATGCGGAAATAGATTTCGATGATAAAAGAAGAGTGAGTAAGTTTTTTTTTTCTGATTTGTTCCTGGCATTGTTTGAATGTTTGCATTTGATCATTTCTGACCGGAAGTGTCAATTCAACTTGAAACAAGAACACTTCTTTTGATTCCTCTTCGTCATACAGACGTAAAACCGATAAGATCAGAAGAGTTTGCGCAATAAAAGAATATTTTTGTTAGAAATAGGACGAAAGGATTATTGAACGGTGGAATCTTTGATAACGAGCTCTGGTTCCATTTATACTGAAACTTTTAAATCTTTCTTAGAACCTTATCTCATTTCAGTTAGCTGCATTTTACTTCCCTTGTCTATTCTTTCTTCATTGCTCGTGCAAATGGGTAGTCAAAAGACTGCCACTGAAACCGACGCATGACATCTGTTGGATGGTAATCAAGCACTCAACGCACAAGACCATCCAGTTGATATTTTACGAAGCAGTGCATACTTTAGGTGGTAAAAGATATTCAACGTTCACTATAACCTGAGCAAAGGTTCTACAATACCCCTTATTGATCAATCAAAGGTATTGTGAAATATCGCAGAAAGTAGAACACCATAGTGTTTTGCTAAATTTTCTCTAAATAAACTAAAATATTTTAGGTTATTACACTCATATTTTTTCTTCTGTATATTATTTACGGTAATCCATTATTTTCTCTTTTTTCGATATATTTCCTCATAGCCTGTGATATGTCTTCGTTTTCACTTTTTGTATCATAAGCTACCAAGGTCATTCAAACTTCCATGTATATCTCCGCAACCGCTTCAATAAGACTCCTCACTTGTTTAATGCCTAGAATAAACATCATATTGTTATAGGACATGTAGACAGTTCTGATTTCTGCTGGGCCAAAGTCGTTGTAAAGTCCGGTTAGGATTGTAAAATGCTTTGCGCCATGCAAAGTCTTTTTGCATCTTCAGATTATGCATTCGTTGAAATCGGATTATGTTTTGAGATTCATTGTCCTCCAATCACGGGTTTATACAAATTTTAGCTCAAAACGGATGATGTCCTAAAATAAAAACTGCACCAAAATAAGCCTCTCTCCAATCCCACTAAATTTAATGTGAAAATGGTGTAACAGATAGCAAAAGATTATCTGATTCGAAAAAAAGGAAGACCAAAATGGATTGCTTCAAACCGGATCCCGAGTACGGTGAAGTTGGAATGAACGCTGCATTGGGATTTGAGTAAAAGCATAAAAGGTATTCAAAAAACTTCTAATTTTGTGATGAAGAAAAGTGTTATTGCTAATTCAGATTCCCAGTTTGTAATAGAAGTAGGATTGCATTACAGGGAATGAAACAATAAATTTTAGCCATAAAAATGCCTAAATTTCATGATCTGTATAAGTTGAAACGATATCAGAAATAAATCCAAGATATTTATTCAACAGTTTATTTTGGTAGATCTCTAATATTATAGAGTACGACTTTCGAGGTATCTTTGAAAACGCTGAAGCAAGCCAAACTATTGTATTTCCACCTGGAAAAAGGAACAGTGTATTCGTAAACAGGAAACGGAATCAATGCGTAACATTCAGTGACCTCAGCAGAGTTTCGCGATTCCGGAAAGCTTCTAATGTGATGAGCCAAAATAACGCGTTTACTATCAAAACTATTTGCGTTTTTATTAGGAACCCGGAGTGTTGTACAGGTTTAGAAAAAAGCTGGTCCCACTTTGGGGAATCTGTTGAGGTAACTGGATAATTGCAAGTGGCCCTAATGGCGGACAAATCACTAGTGTCAGTCCTCTAATAAAAATAGATAACAGGCGTTTGCACTAAAGCGGGGTCACCTCTCACCTTATCGTGTCCTTCATCAATGGAAAGCTTTACCTGACGAATGTTAACGACTTTGAGTGGGTGTGAGTATTTTCTGAAACTGTTCATTCACTGGTACAAAAAATACAAACACTCATAATCCTCATCTACTCAGAGAAATCGAAAGCTGTTTGCAACCCGTTAAAACCAAACAAATCAACCGAATGCTTGGGTTCGCACTGAGGGCTCCACAAAGTCGATGATACAATTTTAATCAACATAACAGTAATCGATCTGCATATTTAAATGAGAAATAATGTTTTTCTTAGGTGATTATAAACTGTTTGAAATCGGTCTTGATGATTTCTAGTGCGGCTTTCCTTAGCTTCTATCACACCTGTGAGATAAAATTCCATTTTGAGGTGTATGAACACTGATACATAAAAGAACACTAGTTTGAAGGCAGGAAAAAAACAGAGAGAAAAAAATTAATATATATTGAGCAGGTAACCATCGTTGACCGATTTTCTATCAAATCACACCATCGAAAATATATTTATGTTTGGTCTGAAGACTGAAATCACAGTTTAATGCATAATACCGTTACAAACGGGGTGTACCAACCAGAAAGCATGACATTCCAAATTCACGACCCTTAACCTAAAATGTCGCCTGTTAACTGTGTCACTCTGGGGGTGGGTTTTTAACTCGGGCCGGAAGGTCTGAGGTTCGAGTCTCAGTACAGACAGAATAAAAGGTGTATATTGTTGACAAGTCGTAACACGAGTTAAGCATATATTCAGGCCTCTATATTTGACACCACAAATCGTGAAATCATTCTACTGAATACAGAATGAGTAAATCATCTCCTCCAGAATGAAATCCACTCTCAAGGTTATACAGATGGTCTGGTGTCTGTGCGAACTGATTGGATTGAACCAAGCATTCTAATCACCCCTTCTGATTTATCGAATACATTATCATTCAGTTCTTGGAGTTTCTAAATGGCAATCCACCTGAAATTTGCACAATCTCATGGGCTAAATGCTCACAGCCTACATTTTTCTGGACATCATGTTTCAGCGACATGGACCCATACCTGAAGGGGAACGAGGTGGCTACACTTGGATTTTGCCTACTGCGGTGGATACATCTTCGACGGTGCACGCTGAGTTTGAGGTAAGCTGTCCACGTGCACCCTTCTTTGTTCTAAATAAAATCCGGTATGCGAAATAAGCTGTTTTCTATAAGTTCATCGACTGACCATTTACATTTATATGGGTAGAGTATTCAATATTGTCTCATCCAGTGTGAGGTGAATATTATTATCCTATGTCCAGAAGCGATCCTACGTGCGTCAGCAATTTGACTGAGATTCTCCCTGATTACGACGTTCTTCCAGTTACCACGCTTGCATCTGTTTGTTGACCGGCCATGGTAGAGATAATACCTGGACGAAACGCTTCTGATTGCATAGTGAGCGTTGTGGCCTACAACTGACTGATTTGTGTTCATACATGCCTGTGGCCGAATTAATTGATCGATCGATTGGTTGATTGACTGACTGACTGAATGCTGTTTTGACGGTATTCGCATGTAGTGCGACGTGTGAGCCTACCTGCCTGCCTTCCTACACGCTGATCTATCATGCTTGTTCCCCGGTTTGTGAACCGGATATATATTTTCTGTTTACAATAAAACGTACTATTTAATTCGTTGTGTGCACATTTACCCACTAAATCTGGGGCACAACAGTGGGGGTTTAAACAGTTTGATCGCAATTGCCTCGGCCATACACAGAAGGATAAAGCGTGCTAATTTAGAGGATAAAGATGGAATACGATAAACAGTTCTGAACACTCAACTTACATCTAATTGAAGATTACTTTGGAGTAGATGTTGGCATATCGCGGTTTTTCTGTACTCGTTTCTCCGTGTATCAACCACTGAGAGTGATTTTCCTTCATTCTTTTTGATTATGATCTTGTTATTCAGTCTATGTAGCAAACGTAAATGACCAGCTAATGAACTTATCGAAACACAGCTAGTTTCGCCCATCGGATTTCATTTTCAATAAATAAGACGAAAGAAGCGAACTCTCGGACCGAATTTATCTGGTTTTGTTTCGGATCACAAGTCACCCGTCGGACAGGTAAGTGTTTAAGTGACCACGTCAACTATTCAAGATGATTTACATTTAAGAGAAACCATAAGCAAACGCGTACGAGAATAATGGGCGAAATGGTATGGAAGAGCATAAAAGTGAGTTTCCTTAGAGTTCATGGTTGTTCAGTAGAAATCGAAACCTACGGTTGCACTTCCGCTTCTAAAAAATATCATTATTATTTAGTGGCAGTAGATTTTCTCTGCATTTGGAACATTTTTAGACAACTGTGCTGAATACGTGCTACGCATATCATCAAAACAAAACCACTGTCATCGGACACTTAACAAACATCCCTGTGAAGCACACAAAAGAAATAATTCACTACAATAAACTAGCGCTTTTGAATGCTAACAGGCGCTGGACTAGCATAGACGAACAGGGCGGATTACGCCAGGAAAATGGAGGCTGTTTTGACCAACAAGAACAAATTTCAGCAAGTCGACCGGGATGAGGATAATACAGACGCTACTGAAAAATAACCAACAATATTGCTTATAAGACTACAGAGAGGGAATCTCATCAAAACGACAGAATATAAGAGCCTAAACCCCCAAGGCTCAAGTATCCCAGGTCTATATGGCCTACCTAAAGTACGTTAACCGAATTAGCCTCTACAACCTATACCTTTGATGCCTAGTTCTCCTACTTCCCCGTATCATTCAGTTGCAACGGTGCTCGTCTCCGAGTTAAAAACCATACGGAGGTAAATAGTGAAATCAAGCTTACGCGATAAGGGTTAGTTCGTCGAAATAGTCAAAAACCTGCACCTGAAAAAAAACAACGTTTTCGCTGCACTTTTCACTTATGTGCCACTAGTTGAAACTATTGATTATTTTTGCGGTTGCATAGCGCAAAACCACAGAAATACCTCAATTACGATATCAGATCTGAATGAACTGCTTTCGCATTGCACAATAAACATTTAGTTCTTATACAGGGGACACCTTTTTATTACACACATAAGTATGATGAACAGCAGACAGAGCGAACCCCATTGTCACGAGGATCTGCTATTTAGTGGTGGAAACCGGCAACCTAAGCCTCGTGACTTGGAGTGGCGAACCACATAAGGCCCCGATCAGTTGTGCGTTGTAGTAAACCGGACGACAGCATTGCAGCCTACCACATAAGTTTGGTGTTGTTGGTGGGGCTCGAACCTCGGACCACATGGTCCACAGCTCACCAGTGACCGCGACTAAACCACTGTGCTACCACCACCACCACATGTACCGCAGTGGGTTCATCACTTGACCCAACACTAGCAGATATCTTTATGGCTACGTTGGAAAACCATGATCTAAAAGGCAAGATCTCTGAACTGGATATTGGTTGTTGCTGCGTTGATGATATCTTTGCCATTAGTAATGTAACAACAAGTGTTTAGCAACTTTTGTTAACATTCATGAAAGTAAATCAATCGATGCATTTTACACTGAAGTCCGAAAGGGATGGATGCATTCCTTTTCTAGATGTGCTGCTTTCTCGAAATGAGGATGGGACCATTGGGAGGAGCGTGTAAGGCAAGCACAGTTGGATTGGGCAACATATAAACTTCGACAGTGCTGCAATTATCGAGCAAAAGCGAAACCTAGTGCGTTGTCTAGCTCACCTGTAAAGAATGTTTTGTTCCAAAGGAACATTGGCAGATAAATTATTGCAATTAAAAAGCTTTTTCCGATAGAATGGATACCCACACAAGCTTATCGAAAGGTTTTTGCAAATAAAACCGTAAAATTCAAGCCGTGTATCATCTTTAGGAAACGATTGTTTAGCAATCTACCTTTTGTCAACGACAGCTTGCGTGAATTCTTCGAAAAGAGTCTCTCAAGAGCACTAAAATTCATATTCTTCGCCACCAAATTGAAAATATTCTACTCGTTCCATCCGTTCATTGCTCAGAAACTACCACTGTCAACCATTTCTTTGTGTATCAATTCACGTGCATCTGTGAGGCCGGTTACATCACTTGTATCAGTCGGTAGTTGATCAATTATGGATCATCTAAGCAACGCAGGACCTACGGTAGACGTCAAAAGGTTGTCTACAGAACCCAGATGAATCTGCCTAAACACCTTCGGCAAATTATGCTTTACACGGTTGAGGCGGAAACTATTCGGATCTACCAGCCCGAAATGTGCAAATAAGTAGATTATTCACATATTGAGGCTGCCATGGCCCGACAATGTGACGTAGTCGACCGTTGCTCAGAAAATAATGATGCTTTCATGCCAACAGTAAACTTAGTGACTATCTCTGTAGCTTAAACCTGAAAAAACCTGAATTGGCGATCTGGTTCAGCTCTGGTGTGAGTTCGTTCGTCTAGTGCTAACACAGACCTTCCATGAGATGAGCCCTGGGTTAAAAACCTGGACGGGGCAGTGGATACACAAAACTGATTGTCAAAAGTCAATTCTTCAGGAAATGTTCTAGATATATTTTCTTTAGTCCGATGGATATGAATCTCAATTGGAAAGATCAACCAATAAGATTGTCCGGTTTGCAACATTAAAGTCTTCTACGGACCAATCATGAAAACACGATTGATATAGTTAAACCAACGATCAAGTTAAACAACACTTTCCAACACACTGGAGATCCTTAATAAAAGTGTTTCCGAGGGTATGGTTGGATGGATGAACTGAGGATTGTGCGTGAAGTTGAAGCTCGAAGGAAAGTCAGTTCAAACCGATATTAATTATCTCACACAAATACTCACAAGTAACGGTGGGTTAAATGCGGTGACTGAATGATCGAGCAATATAATCCACTTAATCATATAATTGCAACTGTAATTCCCACCTCAAAACCCAGTTTATTTTATTAATCACGACTTTTGTTGCTTTCTTTTGATAGTGTATTGATGTCGAAGCTTGAGAATGAATACTCGAAAAGAATTCTTTTCTTCAATGGTTCTTATAATGAAGAATGGGGATGGAAATCTTTGTAATTCAAACCTTACCATTATAAACAATGAGAATTTTTCCAGCGATGACGATGCGTAAAAGATTCAATCACATTGCAGTCTTTATCGGTTGTTTGCATTAGCGGCTACTTCGCTGCGGGACTGAACCATGTTTTTATGAAATCGATGATCAGTACATGTGGATACTCAAAAATCCAAGCTTTTCGACCAGATGCCTATTCATGATTATCCGATTTGGCTTCTTTTTTGCATTGTTTATCCTCTTCCAACGATAGTGAACATTACCGGAATAAAAATGTGGACAATCAAATCATACTGTGGCGCATTGGTTGTAACGCTGAAGAACAGTTCGGAGGCAGCCATACTAATTTGATATTCCAGAATGCTGCGACTCTGTAATGATGGAGGACGATATCTTTGAATGGTAAAAATGAGCGTCCTCGAGAAACCAACCTGCGGATAATATTGAACAAACAACTTTGAAACCACGCAGGAATCCTCGGCGCATTATGTTAAAGATTACTATTTCAGGTCCTTTCCATCTATTTCACGGAGACATGGTAGAGATTTGCTGAAAGATCAAGAGATTTTGCTACAGAGCTCTGAGCTGCAACTGGTTGATTCTTTTTTCTCTTTTTCATTTTTACTTTTATTGAATACACAATGATACAATTTTCACCAAGGGGAAAGCGGTCAATCAAAGGGCTGCCATACAACACACACAAATGGGTAAAGTCAGGCAGTGGTGGTGGGATTCGCGAACACTCGTCCTCCGGGGTGATAATTTGGTGACGTTACCACCGGGCCACCACCGCCCGGTGGTGGAAAGATAAGCACCTGAACATAATCATGCCACATGACATCGGCTTGAGCTGCTGTGTATATGCCTTCTACACAACAGGTGAATATCATTGGGTGAATTCAACGTTACACGTTGGGCGGTCAACAATCAACCCACACAAAGGTCAACGAATAAGTGCATAAGTATCAGTACCTGCGACATACTGAGAGGGTGACCTTGCAAAATCCATTATTACCTTATCGCATATATGGTTCGTTTTGGGGTACTAGAAAGTGGGAACATTGGAAAATACAACTACTCAGGGGTGTGACATGGCAAGAGTTTGATTGTGAGAGGTTTTCTGCATTTCTTTTTGTAAGAACATTACACAAGGAGACCGATAAAGAAACTTTGTTTTGACTCCATATCAAATGCTGACCATTTTTTGGTTTGACCAAAGTGCATTTGCGCAACTTATGCTAATGAAGATGAATATGAAAGGTTATTGCAGTCTCTGTTACAATTTGTCTTTGATCTGCCAAAAATCATATGCAAAGCCTATTTATTGTTTCATGTTTGTCAGGGATTTTGCGCTTGGTCACTGATACGTTATCAAGGCCTGCTGGTACCGGCCGATCGATCATTAGGATATTTGTTAATGCCTCCGGATAACCGTCTCTATGCATTCTGCTCACCGGAGGCAGCACGAGATTTCATGTTAGCTGCAGAAAGGTGAGTACATTCTTGTCTTTCGAATAATAACAACCATCTATAATCTTATTTCAGTTGTTTAATCTACATATCGTTGGGTTTTTCACTGTGACAGAGCAAGGAATTAGGGAGACCGCTGTATCACGCACGTTAAAGACCGATCTCACAAACAGGAGTTTCGTTCTCTGCTTGTACATCTGTTAACCCTACTGCATAGTGCGGTGTTCTTTTATTGTCAATTTGGATATAAGAGCAGAAGGAAGATAGAAAAGTTGAAACAGCGTCCTAGAGAGAATGGAGAGTTCCGATAGAGCAATGTTGTACTTGTATGTGACAACCATTTCGTTCGGTATATCCCTCTTTGGTTATAATAATAGCAACGTCTAAAATGCAAACATCTAAGTTTACACAAGTTTAACAAATACAGATTCGACTATCTTGCTTTCGTAATGGCCAAATCTCAACGCCGTTTAGCAGAAGTGAACGAACTACTGCAGCTTACGCTGAACCCTTCACAGACATCTGAATGTCGCGATGACACCATAAATGTCTTAGACTGGAAAATGTCATTCAGGCCTTGTGTACGCAAGCTGACACTTTATCTGTAATGCGTCCATAACGTGAGATAAATCTGCCCAAATAAGTCGCGTGGAACCAATTTATGGAACCCGTTTGATTAGGTGGCCCGGTTATTAACCCCAACAACCATTGAACCCCAGGTCAATAGAGTTCAGGTTATATACATACTTCGGCTTTTCTTTTTAAGACAAGCAAAATTTAAACGTTCTCTGATCCAATTCATCTAAATAACTTGCCTAATTTCTGTTGTAATTAGTACTCAAGTTGAACAGATTCATCTTACCCCTAGAAGGAACAAAACAACACTACAAGCGATAGACAAAACTGACTTTGATGTCGAATTGGATTGGGGAATGGCATAACTGGTGGGTTGCTTTGACTTTCCCTACGTTTTTATATAAACCTGCTCAGGGACTTCCATAGACTTGACGTAACTTGGTGAGTGTGGAGATTGACCGTACCGTATGGAAAATGCCTCTGGTTTAATTATCTGCTTTGAGGATTAGCACAAAAGTCCATGAACCAGAACGATCTATCCGTAATTGCGCTTAATCGATTTGTAAGAGAAACGTGAAACAAGCACACATCAACAAAACACTGGATTGGTTGATGCGTGTTAAGTCGACGGAGATACTGGCTAGTAACGTGCGTCCTGATGAGAGGGAGCTGGGTAGAGTAACAGGACCTGTTGCGGCTAATATAAAGCAGCAAAACTTCGTGGCTCTTTTGAGATGTTTGGAACTACTCACTCTGAATCTTGAGCTTTTCTTGAGTGCCCCTAGTCTAGTCAGTCAGGTGAATGGAATTGTCTTCCAAACATCCATTGGCAGTTCAGTATTTCATCCATACATCACCCAACAAAAAGCCGGGATAAAATTTTACCGAAGAACACTGCTTGTTAATAGGCTTCCGATAATTATTGGTCTTAGTTCAAACGGAAGAAGCCTATTTGGCCTCATACCTAACTGTTCCGTCCCGTTTGTCATGCTCTTCCACTATCTGAAATTTCAATCCTCCCATACATTGTAAATATACGTCCATAAAAGCAATCTGAAGTATTAAATGCTCACAATATACCACCAATTTGTGTTGGGATTTTTGATTTGCANCAACTTCTAGCAGACTGAATCATGGCATCGAGGTCTGGTCTGAATCGTTGATTGAGAAGCAATTCAACGAGAGTCTTCTGTTCTAGGGTAGCTGTGTTCATAACCTTACCGTGTGCAACGAGAAAAGCGTGAATGTATCGTTGTTGTTCATTCTACCCTTAGTGCGGTCTCAGTGAACGTTTAGTTTTGCCAGTATTCCGTTCGACATGGGCGTTTACTTACAACTTATGCACCAGTGACTGGACATAGCAAATGCTACTATAAGCATTAATACCCCGAACCATGGAAACTTCGTTTTGTATTGTACTGTATTGTATTCAAGCTTTAGCGAGTTATATAAACAAGCTTTCAGCCAAAAAATAGACCACCGTTACAATTCTGGTAAAAACAGGGGGGAAAAAGTGGGATTTGAAAACGTACAAAGGTATGAGTTAATTACCAAATGCCTTAGAAAGCTCAGAGCAAACACTTTCCTTGTCGGTCAGTATCCGGGAAAGATACGGTACTAAGGAGTTACTGTATGCGGATATGCGAGACGGGATAAGTTTGAACTTGAAAAGGGTGCAGGGGTGGGATTTGCATGCACACAAGTCAATGTGTAGAGGATGGGTGCAATCGGATAGGATATTGTCAGCAAACTTCAAGCATGCATCAATATGGGCATTACACATATTGCCAATCAGAACAGATAATGGAACTTGGGAGACACGGCTGATCATTGAGAGGCCACGCCTCAGAATCTTGAAATCAGCCTTCAACAAACCAGGGAAAATTACAGGAGAGCAATAAAGGGGTATAGGGAGGACACCTGGTTGAAGGAAAGTGTTATCACCGACGAGTCAGAACAGAATTGGCGCAGTCTTCTGATCTGAAAAGAAAGTCTTTTCAACTTGCGAGCAATACTTTGGGTATGTAAGGACCAGCGAAGGTTACTTTCAAGTGTGACGCCTAAGTAATTCACACGGCTGACCCTGCTCATCGGCTTTCCATGAATGTGGACATTGTCGGACGGAGATGGGGTTTAGTGTAAAAATACATTCAAGGCACTTTTAGGATTAAGATTAAGACCGGATGAAGTGGAATATGAAACGAAGTGGGATGGGTTTGTGTTATATTTAACCAGCTCTGATTGGGTAGGTACGGAAACAGAAATGACGATATCATCAGCATAATTAAAATGTCGAACAGGAGGAGTAATAGGTTAGTCACTAATATAAGTCGAAAAACGATAAGTACACCCGAGCTATTGAGTGACGCGGTTGACTGTCTTCGTCCCAACTTAACATACAGATATCTTTGTGAAAAGTAATCTGCAAGCCATTCACAAAGAGAAGCCGGACAGCCAAAAGATTGAAGCTTGTTAAGTAAAAGACAGCGGGGCACCGAGTCGAAAACGGAGGAGTAGTCAAGAAGTGCACAATGCACATATTTAGCTTTCTCGTTAAGGGACTCACAGATGAAATGAACTAGAGAAGAAAAGGCATCTGCTGTAGAGCGGTTATGTTTGTATGCAAACTGATAAGTGTGATCGGATGTGGTAAGAGATAACTGAAGACGGTGCAGAACTGATCGCTCCATCAATTTCAAACCAGTGGAAAGAGAGCAATTGGTCTAAAACGCTTCGCTATTTGGACCTTTGACGTTCCTTTGGGGATAGGAGTAATTCTAACTGGGCGCCAGCAGTCTGGNNNGTCTGGAATAGTTCGGAGTTCGAGTGAAAGATTAGCTATGTGTGCGAAAATCTGAGACAGTGGCAGAGCACCGTGTTTAAGGAGGGTGGGACTTAAGTCGTCTGGACCAGGTGAGGTGGACACCTTGAGAGAACACATGTGTTTATACATCTCACCAGAGGTGATGGAATCAAACGAAGGTTGGATGTTTGGAGAACAGGAATCAGCATAACTGGGGTATTTGTCGAACAAATAATGAATGAATGCATTATTCAGTTTTTCAATATCGATAGAGGGAATGGAAATCACTTTCTTCTGCCTGCAGAGAAGCTTGATTCCACGCCACATAGATTTACAAGTCTTCGTCCCAAAAAACTAACTTGCATAAAGGGCGTCCAACCGTCTTATTTCTTTCCTGATCAGGGACGATAATCGTTGCATTTCGGCCCTCCTACCACATTTAAATGCGCGTTCCTTTTCACGGCGAAGACGTTTAAGAAAAGGGGTTGATATTCTGCCATGTTGAAGGAAAAAGGCTATCACAGGACAGCATATGTCAAAAAAACAGTTCAAAACTTGTCAGAAATGTCATACTTGACAAATAGGTTGTGTTTAAAGGAAAACAGTCGGTAACTACCTTAAGAGACGATCTAAACAAGGCAATATTGTCTGGGAAAAGATCACGCTGACGAAACATAATGCGATTTGGCCGAGTAAAAGAAAAATGTCCTGAATGTGAGTAAATCTTAGATCTGATCAGGATCAGGTTGTGGTCACTGGTGCCTGAGGGGGATAACTGTTTGGTGGAAATGGTATCAGCGTGGTCTGTGATTATGTGGTCTAGATGAGAGTTTTCTCTAGTCGGTTCAATAATCAGGTCGCTGAGGTTTAGACACAATAAAGAGTGCAGGGGTGCGTGGTTAAAGTCACCAGCTATTAGATGCAAGCTGTCACCTAGAGATGGGGCAATAACCGGTAGGAAATTATCATAAAATGTATCAATGTTTGATAATCTACATTGGGGTGCAATGTATAAATTAGTGATGGCGATATAAGGAAAGCAGGAGAATTCGAGGTGACGGACGACAGTCAAGCAATCAACACCATTCTGGGAATACTTAAAAAGTACTTCGGACTTGCCGCACCAATTGGAATTGATATAAGTGATCACACCGCCTCCCAACTTCTTCCTACACCGTTGTCTGTCTTGTCTGAAGCATACGAAATTATCCAGTTGGACCACGGAATCATCCACATCCTAATTGAGCCATGATTCCTGAAGTCACAAGACACAAGAGGTTTCGAAATTCCTTTCGCTGAAGCAGGTAGGATAAGTCCGGAAGCTTCCCAAACACAGAACGGACATTGTAACTCATAATGGTAGGTACGGTCATCTTGCAGGGAATAGTACGACCAAGGGCAGTTTGCCAACCGGCACGAATGCGTTTTCCTCGTTTGCAGTATTTGTGCGCTTGACTAGCAACTGGCACTCCAAACTTGGCAATATGGTTTTTCGCAATAACATCCTTAATTTGTAACATGAACTCGTTTGTGTACATGATTAAAACACGCATATTTAGCACTTTGGGCAGATAAAATCCAGAATGCAACGGCGGCGAGAAATTGTAGCGCAGCCGTTCAAGGGGCGCGCGTGTATAAGATGTTATCTGAACTTTCTTCATGCCGGATTGAGCAATACTGTACTCAAGTTTACAACTACAGTGGCTTTTGCCAATATTCACATCGTAACAACTTTGATCCCATAGAAATGTGCACGACTCGGTAATGGCGGTACAACTTATGATATAATAATATTGCATATTATGTACTATATACTACTAATATGTGAACCATCCACGGGACCAGAAAATATTCTCTAAATGCGGAACTAGGGGGTCTCTGGAGCCTGGCATGATTGAAGTTCAGCTTAGATGTTGGTTCAGCTGCCATCAAGCAGTTGTTAAAGGTGGAACTCGTACTGATCCATTAGTGTTCAATAGGTTTAACTTCAGGCCTTTGGCTTCTTTTGAATGATACCACAGTGATAATGACAAAATTGTTTTTTCACATAGTCGACTTTAAGCATATAAAAAGAAAGTTGTGTAAACATTAATAACTATCCTCGTTCAAACAAAAATCCTAAACTTATCCTAGAGGATTGCTTGAAAACTCTATTTTTAAGTATTTTGGCCAACTTTCTGTACAATAAAAAATTACATCCCGTGATAACCAGGCCTTTCATATCTCGTATTGGACTACTTTCATGAGGTCAGAGGGACTACTTCTCACCGAATCTTTTAAAACGTAATACACATCGAAACCAAAGGAAATTGGTGAGATTGCTCTATTCGCGTCAGTAAGACTACTACCTTGATTGGCTATTCACCTGATTAGAATATCGCTACGACCAAAACTTGTCAGTTTTGTCAAATGTAAATCAAAATCCTAACTTAAGAACACTATGGTCAAACGATGTATTGGATTTCTAGTGTGCTTTAGGACACCTGTCATTAGGTCAAATATCATCGGCGTAACATTAAATGAGACCTTATTGTAGCAAAAGTCAGTACTACCATGTCCGTATTGGAAATTCCCAGAGACTACAATCATGATCACCTTAAGGTCACTGTGAGTGACTGAAATTATAATGCGAAAACTTGTTCCATTTTAACCAAATACGTTCTGGCTGACCAACACCAATATGAGTTTAGCATCATGAACGGGTTTAATGAATTTTCCATTTGATACATCTGTGTAATAGTCATCGACAAATACAAAGAGGGATGGTTATATTTTCTTACTGTTGGGCATGAATATCCGATGTCAGTCTGAGATGCTGGCGGTGATCGTGCAACGAGTACGCACGTACCACGATACAGTCTCAAGGTATCCAGTAAGAGAAAGGAGTTCCCGGCCAATCCTGTGGTCTAAATGGAATCAATCGGATTGGCTGAACGCAAGAACGCTACCAAAAGAGCTTTTTCGTTGAAGAATGGGTATTGAAGAAAGGGAAAATGGTCGTTTGACATTTGTAAAATTTAGTTGCGTGATTTAGTTAATAGAATTAACTGTATCAACAGCTCGTCCTGGTTCTCTATCTGACTTTGCGCTATGCAGCGGGTTTTTAGTCTGAATTCGAGTTCACATTACTCGATATCAATTAATATTCTGAATATTACAAATTTCATGTGATTGTATTTACTACTAACACTATGAATACTCGGCTACAAAGTAGGAAGCCAGGAAATAAAAATGCAGTATTGTATCTAAGTGTGTGTTTGTTCTGAATCAGCTTCGGTTTGTGCATAAAGTATAAGTCTGAAGAATAATCAGAAAACCTATTGGTGCTGAAACCCAAGTAATAAATTCGCAATCAATGAAAAATCTAATGAAACCGATGCTAAAATGCATCCCAGCCAGTTTGTGATACCTAGCATACACGGTACCGCATAAATGATTCTTGAACAGTTAATCTGGCTTAACAAGTTATGATACGCGTGTAATGAACGGGTAGTTGAACTAATCTTATGCAGCTGTTCATAATCTTACTAATTATTATAATTTGGTTGTGATGCCATGGTTTACCGGGTTCAATATAATAGCGTCACAATTCCCCCGTGGCACTCGAAACAAACAAAATTGAGTATAGATCCATTCTGTACCGCAAAAATAACCGTACAACTTTGTTAGAAGTAGTTGCACCCAGCCTCAGTATGCC